GATCCACACAGGAGAGAAGCCATATAAATGCATGGAGTGTGGAAAGAGCTTCCGTGAAAACAGGTATCTTACTGTTCATCACAGGATCCACACAGGAGAAAAGCCATATAAGTGCACAGAGTGTGGGAAAAGTTTCAGTAAGAGATGTTCCCTCACATCTCATAGAAGGATCCACACAGGAGAGAATCCATATAAGTGCATGGAGTGTGGAAAGAGCTTCTATGAGAAAAGCTATCTTACTGTTCACCAACGGATCCACACAGAAGACAAGCGATACAAATGCATGGAGTGTGGAAAGAGCTTCCGTGAAAACAGGTCTCTTACTGTTCATCAAAGGATCCACACAGGGGAAAAACCATATAAATGCATTGAGTGTGAGAAGGCCTTCAGGCGACACAGTACGTTTAATTCCCATAAACGGACCCACACAGGAGAGAAGCCATATGAGTGCACAGAGTGTGGAAAAAGGTTCAGTGAGGGCTCTTCCCTCACATCTCATAGAAGGATCCACACAGGAGAGAAGCCATATAAATGCATGGAGTGTGGGAAGGGCTTCAGCCAACACAGTACCCTAAGTTCTCATAAATGGATCCACACAGGAGAGAAGCCATATGAGGGCACAGAGTGTGGAAAAAGGTTCAGTGAGGGCTCTCCCCTCACATCTCAGAGAAGGATCCACACAGGAGAGAAGCCATATAAATGCATGGAGTGTGGGAAGGGCTTCAGCCAACACAGTACCCTAAGTTCTCATAAATGGATCCACACAGGAGGGAAGCCATATAAGTGCACAGAGTGTGGGAAAGGTTTCAGTACGAGTTCTTCCCTCACATCTCATAGAAGGATCCACACAGGAGAGAATCCATATAAGTGCATGGAATGTGGAAAGAGCTTCTATGAGAAAAGTTATCTTACTGTTCACCAAAGGATCCACACAGGAGAGAAGCCATATAAATGCATGGAGTGTGGAAAGAGCTTCCGTGAAAACTCGTCTCTTACTATTCATCAAAGGATCCACACAGGAGAGAAGCCATATAAATGCATGGAGTGTGGAAAGAGCTTCCGTGAAAACTCGTCTCTTACTATTCATCAAAGGATCCACACAGGAGAGAAGCCATATAAATGCATGGAGTGTGGAAAGAGCTTCCGTGAAAACTCGTCTCTTACTTTTCATAAAAGGATCCATACAGGGGAGAAGCCATATAAATGCATGGAGTGTGGGAAGGCCTTCAGGCAACACAGTCACCTAAGTTCCCATAAACGGATCCACGCCGGAGAGAAGCCATATAAGTGCACAGAGTGTGGAAAAAGCTTCAGTGAGGGCTGTTCCCTCAAATCTCATAGTAGGATCCACACGGGGAGAAGCCATACAAATGCATAGAGTGTGGAAAGAGCTTCTGTGAAAATAGTTCTCTTACTGTTCACCAAAGGATCCACACAGGAGACAAGCCATATAAATGCATGGAATGTGGAAAGAGCTTCAGTTTTAATAGTTCTCTTATTATTCATCAAAGAATCCACACAGGAGAGAATGCGTACAAATGCATGGAGTGTGGAAAGAGCTTCCGTCAAAACAGGTCTCTTACTGTTCATCAAAGGATGCACACGGGAGAAGCCGTATAAATGCATGGAGTGTGGGAAGGGCTTCAGCCAACACAGTAAGTTCCCA